CAAAATTCCTCCATTGTTGGGATCATATGAACTTTTAAAAGATCTTCATATTTTATGTTATTCCTCATCACCTCAATTATTCTCAATCTACCAAACCCATTTGCACTAAAACTGCCCCAGAACATTTTCTTGTAAACATGTTTTGACTTTTGTCAAATGTGTTCTGTTGTAATAGGAGTGTGCACTCTAATGACTTCATTGTGATTAGGAGTCGTTAAACTATTGACGGCTGTCCAAAGATGGTAGAAAAGAAAAAAAATATATTAAACTGAAGTCACTGTCCCAATTAATTTGCAGTGCTCTCTCTTTTATATATATATATATATATATATATATATATATATGAGAGAGAGAGATATTGGGTTGGCAAGTAAGTTCCGCCATTTTTTTTATTTAAATTTTTTAGAAGGTTTAATAAAAAATAACAAGTAATTAATCAATATTGTATTCTCCCTTGTTGTTTACAACTTCTTCCCAACATTCAAAAAGATTTTCAATACCTCATTGGTAGAAATCAGTTTCAACTCAAAAAATTCATCCAACCAAACTCTCAATTCTGCATCAGTAGCATTTGAAAGAGGTGGAAATCCATTGGTGCCAAATCGGCAGTGTACAGTGGGTGTGGCAGCACTTCCCAGCTATGCGTTTGAATGGCTTCCTTGGTCATATTGGCAATATGCGGACGAGTGTTATCGTGCAGCAAAAGAACTTCATGTTGCCAATTAGGTCTTTTCTTTTGAATAGCCGTGTTGAGTCATTCCTTATGTTGAACATAGTTCCGTGTTGACCGTTTGGTTCTGTTCAAGCAATTCATAATGGATAATCCCTTCCCAGTCCCACCATACGCACATTATTTTATGCAGATGAAGATCTTGTTTCATGCGCATTGTCACTTGTTTACTGGGGCTAAGCCATTCCTTGCACTGTTTTATATTGATGTACAGGCACCATTGTTCATCGCCAGTAATGATTCAGTAAAGAAATCGTTGCTTGTGTCCATGAGTTAAGCAAGCAAACCAGCGGAGATTATGGCTTGTTGATTTTTGTCACTTGAAGCATGTGGAACTCATACTTCACACTTCTGAACCTTTCCCATTGAGTGAAGATGCTTCTCTATAGCAGTGTGGGAGCATTCCATTTTCTCAGCCAGTTTCCTTGTCATTTGACGAGAATTTTCATACAAAAGTTGGTTTAATCGCTCGTCATCAAACTCAACTGGACAGCCAGAACAAGGTGCATCTTTGAGGTCAAAATTTCCATTTTTGAACTTGGCATACCAATCACAAGCGGTTCTTTCAGCTATGGCATCTTCTCCATACACAGCACAAATGTTGTGAGCAGCTTTTGCAGCTTTAGAACCTTGATTAAAAGGTGTCGAAAATGCTCATTTTTCTTATCTTGACATTTCATTTTAATGATCTGAAAATAAACAGAAATTAACTTAAATTAACTTGAAAAAAAATGATAGATTCCAAAATTTAAAAAAAAAAAAAAAATGGCAGGAACTTAGTTGCCAACCCAATATATTAAAAAACTAATGTAAAGCCTTGAATATTGTGAGCACTAGCCTTAAATAGTGCAGATCCTTGGTGACATGCTTGAAACCTATTGATTTTCTTTCTGTGTATGTACAAAATCTGTACATCAGAATTTTTTTAAAATCCTTTTTTAGTTGGGCTTAGAACATTTCAGCATCATCTTGTCTAATTCAATCTTTCCTTGACCTTCTTACATCCCTTTCTATAACGTATAGAAATCTTTTATATTATGCGCTTTTTGTTTCCGCTGTGGCTAGGATGTCATTTGCTGTGCTTCTGCTGATTTAATATCTATCAAATATACATTGGTTGGTCTCCCCCCCCCCCCACAGTACTTTATTGATAGTTGGGGGTCATAATTATTTAAAATTGTCTATTTTTGCTATGACATACAAGTTAGTTACTACATCTATCTGTTGGCAGGGTGCTGAATTTTGTGTATAGCCTTTGTCAAATTTAGTTAAAGTGTTTCAGTTTCTATTGACAGACCTAGTATCCTTTAATATTTCAGTGATCAGCTTGTCTAGCTGATTTCTTCCCTTCACCAAGTAAACTTTTCATAGAACAGTCATTGTAATGGATACTTGCCAGTCAATGATGTCCTTATTAATAAAAAGGTCTCAGTGTCTAGCCTCTTCATTTTTGTCATCTCATTTTAGAAAAGCCTCTTTTAGCTGATATCATATAGGTTGGTAATAGGGTCATTTCTGAAAATGTCATTAACCTCATTTCCTGTCTCTCTTGTGACAAAGCTTCTACTGCATATGAATATTTTTCATATTTTGCAACATTTTTTTTCTGATGTGTAAAGAAGCTTGTAGTTAATGAAACTAAATTCCTGACTTAATTTTGTTGAATGGTGGAAGTGTAATATGTGTTGTAATGTTGTGTGTGTTAGTTTTAATATTCCATTGGTTATTATCTGGTATTTAAGAAGAAAAAAAGAAAATTATTGGTATTGACAGTAATTTTCCTGAATGAAGCGATTTGTCATGGCATGAAAATTGTATTAAAGGTTTTGACTAGTTCCCTTTTTGAACAGTTG